AAATAAATAGAATAGAACATTTCTGTGCGCTTATGGAAAAAAGAGAAATTAAATATCCTAATCTTAGCTTGGGATTGTAGGCGGTAATGAGATGGCCCCCGGAAGTCGTCTCTTTTCCAAGCATCCCTTAGTGGACACCGAGTCTAACATGCCTGCTCAGGATGACATAAGGTTGTGTAGAAACCGAGTATAGTGGGCAGTGGGGTGAGAATGGAATGATGCAAGATATTTAATTTGCCCGCGATGGCAGTCCCAAAGCAGCACGTAGCAAGTTTCTGCCACCAACACTGTCGGATTACACCGCCCTCCGCACATTTCCCGTAATTGTAACTGTCGACTCAACTCAGCACCGTACAACACCGCTCGAAACACAGTGAAATGCAACGATACTTATCGATTTTCTCGTAAATAACGACGATGTCTTCCTTGGACAGTTGCTAGTTGATAAACAGACCAAGAAATATCCTGCTTTTATGGCTGGTAAATGTTCCAAATCGCATTCACGAAAATAAGTCACTTGGCTTAATCCTGAGCTAGTTCAATCCGGTTCGTAACTTTGAAACCGATTCCTCTTAGATCCTTTATAATATTATACTTCTATCTATATATATGTCCCTTGAAGTTGTATCTTTTTCTGGGGGATTACAATAATAATTCATATGTATAGTCTATATCTTGCTTCCCCATTCCTGCAACATGTTTCGCCAATCTTATCCACCTTTAATTCCTTAAGTTGTTAGGTGTCATAGAAGTGCAGCAGAAGGCGAAGACCGACACAGATAAGATGTTAGCAATATTCGTGTCATTACGAGATCATTCCTCAGCCAATTCCATCCAGTTCACATTTTGATAATTTATTTATCAAACAAAGTTTTCATATTACCCTCCCATCTACACCTAGTCCTAAATATGCCAAGCTTTCCCATTCACCTGGGGATTTTTAATCAAAATGTTATTAGCATATCTTGTTTCCTCATTCGTGCAACGTGTTCCGTCCGAGTTATTCTGGATCATATTATCATCCTACATTTTAAGTTGCCATAAAAATGTAACATAAGGCGAGCCAAACGAAAAGAAGAAGTTTGTATTGTTTTTTGTCACTTTCAAATTGTAAAGTCATTACTCTGTAAACGCTAATCTGTTCCTCGCATCTTTTTACCTGAAAATTGTAATGTAATAAATACAAGGAAACGATAATGTATTCATCTGTTCCGAATCTGATTTGGCAACATAAGATTTTCGTGTGTGTTCTACGTCGTCTAGCGCTCATTTCTGCCAAACAGTTTACCACAAGACGTGTAAAACGAAAGAAGTACATAAAGAAATATAAAATCTAAGAATAATAAAAAATAAATAAAAAGTACAGATATGTAAAACGACACAAATCAAGAAATAAAATTTGATTCAAATTACCAGTGTTGTTACGCGCCCCCGCGAGATGCCACTAGGGGCACTCTGCACAAAGTTTGGGATGAGTTGGATTAACATCTCGACATCCGCCGTGCGACTCATGGAGCACATATCGAGTCTGCATGATGTGTGTAAAAAAATTGAGATCTTTCCCATCGAATGGTGTAGGTGTGAAGTTCACAATTCGCCACATTCTGTTCTCCGACGTTTTGAAAGTGTAAAGTTATTCTGTGCTCACTCTGTATGTGTAATCCGTTGGACCAACCACACACGTTAGCTCTTACTGCATAACCCAGTGCGCGTATCTACAGAACAGTTACACTTTAAGCATTGATACAATCCCTTCGGATGATTTAAATAGGGATATCTGTACTTCGTTCCAAAAATATATTAAGCTTTGGCATAATTTCATCCGAGTACAGTGCCACATTTCTTCGGACAAAATTAGCTTTGGGATCACAATATAATCAGTGTCACCTTTTCCAGCTTCTGAACCAGTTGATTGATTTTCACAAAATTTGGTTATTAACTTTACGCTATTAGAAACCATCCCACTCAAGTAGATTACATTTTAATTCCCTACAATCGATAATAACAACGTTGCGGACAAAGAAAACTGTGAAGTTAAAGCGACATTAACAACTTAAAGCCTTGAAAGTTTATAAAATGTCTGCTTTTGGAAACGTAAACTGTTCCAAAGAACCAATAGTGTAAGCTGTATTATGTTACCCACATACTAGGAACTCTGATGACCTGAAAGAAGACGTCTTCTACTTTGGAAAATTTCTAACGATAAAGCAAGCTGATCTGATTTCAATCTTTTGTATTTATCGTGCGATTAATAGCACATCCATGCTATCTGCTCTCGTCTGTAATTATTTATTCTTCGTGATCGATCTAATTCTCGAAAGATCCTCTCCTGTTACGCAATTCCCCACACGTGCATCAAAAATAAGCCTGCGACAAAGAACGATCGATACGTTCTGCCAGTGACTATGAGTAGACTACAGTATACGGCTTTGGTAAATCATAAACACGACTCGGGACACGAAACTACGAACAAGCGTTTCGTTTGTGTTTGATACGAAGTACGGTATAATTCTGGCAGAGTATTCTCGTGTTGCCCTCAGTTCCAACAAGCGAATGTCAGGGCAGTAGGTTCTCTTTAAAATACACTAACGTCGTTTTCTTCCAAATCGTTACATACATTCAATATTATAGCGCGTATTGAACATTATGCTACATAAATACTGCAGTTGATATAGCGCCGTTGAATAATCTAAGAATATACCAATGAGTAAAGGTAAGAATAATTTGACGGGAGAGTCCTTATTGAGAAGCTAACAGTCGCTCACTAGTCAACAAATCTCCCGCCTTCTACTAAAATTGAAAGTTCATCACCTTGTTGACATCAGCCCGCCACTGATCACTGAGCCACTTAAATCAATTCCACATCGTCATAACCTATTAGGTTCATCTCACTTTCCGATCAATATTTTGTACGCATTTCTTGTCTCCGCTATGCGTGCTTCATGTCAACAAAGATTAGAATAAGGTTGATAAATAATCAAGTTACGTATCACAGAACGTAAACAATGTTTGGGAGTGTTTAATTCACGCCAGATTTATTAAAGAGGACTTTTTTCTATGAAAAATTATCTGGTCTAAAAGTGTCTAAAAATAGCTATTTTATGGTTCACTGACTCGTATATTATTTAACGACACTGCTTCGACAGCAGTTATATACCTCAGAACGTCGAATATAATTTCAGAATGATTATGAATGGGCTCGGAATTTGGCCGGACAGACTGAAGAAAATTTCAGAAAATTCCCAGTCATTACAGCCCATATTCAAACTGGGTATTTCTTAAATACGTGTCTAGGACATTACCGCTGCACCAATGTGCTCGATAAATAATTTAAAAACCACAATACGTACATAAAGTAAGCTCCTTAGGACACGTGTAAATTCTTTGTGATCTCTCGCAAGAATCCTCATCACATCAGTGCTGAATATTAAGGTAAAGGACAATTCTGTTTCTTTGTGTATGCATCACACCATGAAGGAAGCATTCATTTTAAACTGCAAGACTAAGTGAGGTTCAGTTTCTAGTCATAATCATATTAATTCTGTAGGAAAGCAACCCGGTGTTATTTATAGACCTGATGATGGCTATATAGTAGCCGAAACATGTAGTCCAAGTATTTATAACAAGACAGATATTGCGCAACACAGAGAAGTGTAGTGGAAAATGAGTATATGAGAGCGACGAATATCAGATACGAATCAACTTATTAGGTTAGTTTATTTTTAATTTAATTTAACAGAGCACCCTGAACCTAGCTTCTCACAAGCATAAATATATTAAATAAATATAGTATATAAACATGAAAGTACAGGTAAAAATATAAACCTATAAATATGTTTGACCCTCCTTAAATTAACACCACTCATGCATCTATCAAATAGAACAACTACGTTTGTATCTCGCTGCAAGATTAAAGGGCTACGCTGAAGGGTTACACTGCAGGCATGTCAGTTGGAGTCATACGAGTGTATCCTACACGTACGTATATGAACCGAATTACGTCGTGTGCCTGCGGGCAGTGATGCAACCAGCGCCACTGATTGGTCATATCTTCGTCAATATAAGGAGGATACGTGGCTGGGTGCGTCACGGATCGATTTTCTCACGGTTGGAAAAATCCCGGGAGACCACAACAACTTGACTTAATAGCAGAGTTTGGGAAGGCTGGAACAGCTGCCTTGTTCGAAGCTCCGAACTGAGTTACCATCTCCGATTCTTGTAATTCTACAGCGTGCGAATCTTCTTGGCTAGGTCTGTTTATGACATCCATTAAACCGAGAGAACAAGACTGGTTTTGAAACTAAACCGTAGGTGGAATAACTTAAACATATCAGCAAAACAAAGTCTTATACTTAGTACTACGTATGAGGTAGTGAAGTATAAAATCCACTCTTTCTAGACTTCAGCGCCAGATACAGGTGAGTGCTCAGGTTCATGCCCCGGCCGCTTTATCCCTTCGGAAATACCCCCCTTTGACCCATCGGATAGGAGGGTGACGCGTCGACAGCAAAGAGAACAATCTTTTGTCCCTGCCGGGTTACATATCATGGTCGTCCAACTCGTTGTCAGTCACTATACTAGCTCAGCTACGCGGCTTCCCTTAGAAAAAGCCAAAACACAACGACGTTGACAAACCTAGTACATAGTAACAGTTAATGGGACACTGCAAAGAATTTATTCTTACTTTGCGAATTAAAAAGTGTTTTTTGATATTTGTAGGTTTTCTTGCTTCTAAATTTGTTGTATAGTTTCACAAGCGATAGCAATTAAATTAGGTCACAAGCAGCTGTTAACCCTTTGAAGCCGAAGTTGTAATCTCAGTCCGTTCCTCAGAGAAACTCGCAAATGGTTTGTACTTTTTGCGCTGAGAATCATACGACAGTACACACGTACAGGACAAGCTACCTTATTGTAAACTGTTGAACGGCCAACAGTCGTCTTGTAACCCTGCCTTTATTTAAACTCAGGTCGTAATTAGTTGAAATGAACATATCTCTTACCTTCCTTCATTTCAGTCGACACGAGGTTCCGACCGAACGGTTCGCAGTCGGATGTCCGTTACAAGTCCATGGCAAGGGAAACAGTGAGATTGAGAGGACGTTTCGGAGACTGAAGTCTGTCTCTGTCCTCATATAAAACCCACTTTGACGTATCAAGAACAGAACAAGTTGTATAGGCACGTGGGGTGGCTTTCCAACTGTTGCCAGAAAAGACACATGCACTGTGTTGTAATTTGAGCAGGCATTAGCTACATAGTGGGACCTTTAACCTGTGCTTCCGATGGGGCACACATTAAATAACGTTATGTTAGCGGTTTTACAGAAAGAAGTAGTTTTTATTTTAATTATAACGTATAGCCAATAACGTTTATACGTGTCCTTTTTATCATTGGTTAATACTGAACGAGATATGACAAAAGTACATTTAGATCCCTAGAATAAATTAAAATTATACTTGGTAACACTGGTATATCAAAATAAAAGAATTCAAAAGTCCTATTAGAACCTTAAGTAAAGTATGGGTGAAATCGGTGAATTCCTTCTAGAACTATAACAGAAAAGAGAAAACACACACACGTAAGCAAGCACACATGCTCACAAACAATTTAAATTTTACACGTAAGATTACAAATCCTAAAGCAAACCATTCTGGCATAACTAACGCATCTGGACACCATATTGCAAAAGTATTCCAGATGTAGTGAATACGTCATGTGGTCTAATGTTCACTTACACAACATAAATTGTAGTTTCAGCTTACCTTAACGTCGCATGATGATAATTTAATTGGTGTAAAAGAAAGCAGTCTGTACATCGTCACTGTTTCCGGAATTATTGGATGCTTTGTTTAAACTAAATCCGCACGTGCAAAACTTCACTTTACATCACTATAACAAATGATTATACCACTGCTTAAAGCAGTACTATGCCGTACCTGTAGCATTCATACGAGTGTGGTGATCGAGATATCGATACCGATACTGTTATTGGCAAGAACAAAACAACATCGATCTATGTTATGCAAAAACAGAGAAACTGGACAAATGACATAGTTCTAAAAATTGGATGTTTTTATACAAAACATTTTTTGAACCATCAAACGTCAAGACGGTCTCATATTGAAACATGGGCATTCTTTTAATTTTTATTTTTAAAAATACAACAAAAAGCTACCATGACCAAATGAATGTTTGGCGCTATCTGTTGGCACTTCCATAAACCGTTTCAGCGAATTGATAGAATAACTACCAGATGGCAGCAGAATCAAAGCAAACCCGACCGTCTGTAACACAACCGCAGAAAGGGTTGCCTAAGGTATATACATACTGTTAATTTTACGGTTTTCTGGATTCCAGGATATAGCGCGTACATCTACGTATTGCGTCAAAGAACAAGTTGATTAAAACCAGTGCTCCTTTCTACAGCCTCATATATATATGGGCACGTGTAATGAATTCTATTCGGATATTATTCTACCCTACAAGAATTTTAGTTACGATTCGATGAGTTCTCTATATGCTGTTTGTTTTCCAAGAGTTGCGCCTACGGCGATGGCAGAGAAATCTACGGTACGATGGTTTTGTTTATTATAACACCATTACACACTGCCCGCCTAACCTCCCCTTTATCTTCCATAAAACACACATGTATACATACATCAAATCCCTCGACCATATCATGCTAAATTGAGTTAGACTAGGTCTCTCTCAGATTCAATTATAATCCCATTCTCTTTTGTTATGCGGAAAGCAGACCAAGTCGGGAGGATGCAGATGAGTTTAGCTAACCCAGCGACTGACAACGGCAAGTCCCTTGAGGGCTTGTAGGATGGACTGAGATGAACAGCCTCGAAGCTCTACCCATTTTACCTGGACATTACGGCGTAACAATCCATTCTGGAGATAATTGCGTTCCTGTTACTTGGTTTGGGAGTCTATTTTGTTGGTAAATGATCCGAAGGAACACCTAACGTCGTTACGAAGCGGCTAGGGGATTCAGTGCATACGAAAGATGAAACAAATTGGGGGAAGAGGACAACAGGGAATTCCCTTTGGGGTCCCATATCCTCTTCACTATGCATGTACACTCACTTTCAAACACGCTGAAGAATATTATAAAAGTACAGTCGTGATTTACAACAAAAATTCGTTTGACTCTCATGTGTAAGTTTGTGGCAACCTCTAGTTTCAATAGTAGTCTGTCGTTTGAGTGCTTCACTAGCAAACTCACAGAGTACGTACATATTTTCACGTTATTTGTTGAGCATAATTTAACATTCAGTAACGCAGTATTTCGTCCTTCTGGGATTCTCAGAAATATCGATTATTTCCTTTAAAAGCATTAACTAAATAAGACGCGTTGGAATTTGTTTGAGGTAGTAACTGAATTTTTAAACATTTGGAATTCGGGGTTCAAAGAGTTAAACATGAGACAACCGCCAAAAAGATCAGTTACAAGGAATAAATGCTGAATGGGCCAGAACATTGGGCAGCATTTTAAAACCGAATTTTAACTTAGTTCGTCAAACACAATGACTCACTTACATTCTCGAAACACTTCGTTTTGTTTTTGTTTTTTATTAAATTTTTGCACAATTATTTTAAAATGTTAAATTCGGCCACATGGTTAATTAATAATGTCAAATAAATACCAAATGGCCTGCAAAATTTTTCTTAAATAAATCGCAAATTATTTTCACATAATTACACATATCAACAAAATACGTGTGTTTGGGGTATAGGCTATATTCTTATAGGAGTGCACTCGTTTTAAACTCCGCAATATTCTCGGAGTAAAGTGAGAATGCCTCCATCGTTTCAATTAAATTCATTAGATTTGCGTTTCAGTTTTCCAAAATCAAATCACCGAAGTGCCTGTTACATTACTGACCTAGTTTCCAGACTGATCACCACCACGTCGATCGCCAAATCACCCCTCGGAAATGCACACTTGCATTCGGAAGATACCCTATTCCTCCTGTCTTGTCTCGGTCGGGTTCCCATCTACACAGGCAAATATTTTCCGCAGTTTTTCTCGGTTTCTCCAAGCAAAAGTCTAGATAATACCCTCAAATTGGTCACTACCGAATTCTTCCAGATCATTACCTACTCACTTAACGTATTTTCCCATCTAATTCGAAACTGTACACCTGCAGAATAAATGGAGTCTTTAATCAATCAATAGCAATTAATCATCGTATAGCTTTTAGAAGGGAACTCCGTATAACGGTCACACAGCCTCAACAGTGTTAACAAATATATAAATAAATCCCCTTGGAACATGGGTTACAAAATGATACACGGAGATTGAGAGGTATAGACACTTAAACACAACCTTTTTATTCTCATTTTGTTAACAACGCCACACTGTACGGCCAGAGGTTAAGGCTAAAGGGAATGAACGAGAAATAAATCCCTATGCTAACACCCCCCCCCCTTCCCCCTGCTCTAGGCATCATAAGAAACCACACTCCAAATAAGAGCACATCTGAAGGTCAAAAGGAGAAACAAGACTGAGAAGATGATGATGTTCTGTGTTGTGACGTTTACGAAATGTTTACTATCAAGTGGATTAGAGGGCTGCTATTGGTGGGAAATGTGATACGTCAGAGTTTTACGCTACTGCACACAGACTGAAAACATCAAGCAGTTAAGAGTAGCTTGTAGTGAGTGCACCTGTAATGTGTTCTGTGGGTGTTGCGTTAATATTCTAGATTAAATCACTGTGCCACTGTGAGGTAATCTTAAAGCTGTACCCATTAGAATACATGAAAGCCTGTTGTCTGTTGTTCGTTCAGTGGTTGTGGAACGTATGCTTTTAGGATGGGTCGTCACTCACCACGAAATCTTGAGCATGCGCGTATTGTTTTCAGAAAAACATACTTTAACCCTGAAGATTGAGAGTTTGTTCATCTGAAATAGCATCATCTATTGAAGGGTCCACACAGCATCACAACCCAGAAGAATATAAATGTCACCTTTACTATAATGACATGGAGGCTATGAGAAAAATTTTGTCCGTGCTGGGAACCAAACCCATTGTCCAGCCCATAGCTCAGTCAGCATACTGACCGAGCTGTCCCGTCAAAATCCAGGAAACTTCAATATTAGGATCTTCTGGATTTCATCATGGTAAGAAGTTGAGAAAACCACAAAACCTTAGTCAGTTCTAGATTTTAATTAGACACCTCCCACAAACAGCAGAGAAACTGTAATCACTAAATCCCCATATTCAGTATAAGAAATCTGTTATAGCTCTACATGGTTGCTTTCTCAGTTGTAAATAACATCATTTCAAGTGAAGTTTATTGCAAATATGTTGAAGTAGGTAATGAAAGTTCCATATTTTTGCTGTACCAAATTATTGGTATTTGTATCGAACCCGTTAACAAATAACACAGAAACACGAAAGATTGAATTCACTCTGTATATAAAACACAAGCACAAATTATAGCTAATTATTTATTTGCTTTCCTGAACAAACTAGGTACTCTTACAACACTATAATATTGAAGTCTAAAACTGCGGAATTAAACTTATGTCAATCAAGTTGACCACCCTGAAAGCTGAATTGGAAAGCTGGAATCTGGGGATTTTCCAAAAATTCTGGGATGTCTGGTCTACTTCATAATTCCACAAAATATATATTTACTTTACTATTTCATCACTTTATTAAAACACCATAAATAAACACAGACATAACACCAAAAGATCATCAAAATATAACAGTTACTATAAAATATATGTATATAATTAATATTCAGATTTATGAGACATAAATATAATTCAAAACGTAACTTCTTGTTCAGAGTTTATATGCTGGAATGACTTAGGATTTCTATTGTAGCATAAACATTTGAGCAAATATACACATATAAAAGAAGTATGTATTATTCCATCCATGGCACCATATTTGTTACTAATTTTAATGATATGTTGTTCAACGTTCCTAGCTGATAAATAAAAGTTAATTTACACTCTTCATACAATAAGAAACATCGATGTGTTTCAGAGTTTGCATTCATCTGTATCTTATTTTCAAGTAATTTTGTTAGGGCATGAAACTGACTGAATAACAAAAGAGACAATTATTTGAAAATTCCTGTCATTTCTACACCATCAATGAAAATTAAACTTCAGGTCTACCACTCTCCTAAGCGTAATTTTCACTCTGCTTGCAAAAAAAAGGACATAAAGTAACTATGTAAATAAATAACATCATTTTTAAGCGATAATATTCCAAGTTTTTCAAGAGTGTAGTCTGGAATGTTTTTGCAGTATCACTGAAAACAAATTGACAAGTTTGTCATTAATATCCTTTAGTTAATACATCAAAATTGTTTTGTAATAAATTAGTTGTCCATAGTATTTTAAAGAAAAATAAATTTAACAAACAGTGGTGTAGAAATTTTATTAGTGACTTACATGAAACTGGTTAACATTCTACAACACATTTCCTTTAGCGAATCACAGATAAAGTTAAACTACTGAAATGTGTGCTTATCACTATTACACCACCAGACACGTGTACAACACAAACATGTAACACGCTCATTGCTTACTTTTTATACACTTCCTTTCCAAAATATAAAAATACAAATCACATATACACAATTTCATAAAAGTATAAAATTCCTTCTGCCTCTCCACACTAAACAACATTTTATTAAACTTGGAACTGTTCTTCTGAAACCAATACTCACCCTAAAACTTTAACCCACACTGTGCCCTATTTCTGCACCCTTTTCAGCAACAATTACTCATTCGCTACACCGTCATTTTAGTACCTTTTTCAACCATATTTTTATTTTAATGTTCTGTCACACAGGACTTGAGTAAGCTAAAAAGAATTTATAGTTCGAGAACTCCACTGCTTTATAATTTAGCATTCATTTATACCACTAAACAGATAAATATTCTGAATGATTTCTTCTTGCACTAAATCATACAAAATGAGCCGGTATGAACTGGCGGGACGGATGCGCTAGACAGATAAGAATCCATTTGAATGTAAAATATATATGGGATAAGTTTATTAACCGTTGTTAAATGTAAACAGCAGTTTAAACTCCTCTACCATGAGACTGCTGACCAACTCCTGTGATAACGGTTTAACAGTACGCTAGTGCAGCACAAAGTACAGATAAGGTTAACTGAACAAAGTAACATGAAACCACAAAAGTTAAGAGGCCTATAGAATAATTCATGAAATACTAAGATATAAATTGTAAATAAACTTTTGTGAAAATATTTAGTCTTAATATAATCTCCTTACAACCTATCTTCATCGCCTTCACTGCCCATCCTAGACCAGACATTCTAATTTATTTGAAATCAATTTGACGTCTTTGGGTAGTTACAACACACTGTACAATTTCAGTAGTTTCGATGTCATTTAAAACAGCAAAATTCAAAGCCTCTGTTACGTTCTTATCAGCTGTTTCTCCGTAGTCATCGTACGTGCAAAATTCATAAAAGCGGCAATGAAAATTTAAAACTGAGGAATACTTCGAAAGATACCTAACCTCACACATTCAGCATGTTTTTACTTTGCAAAATAAAAGGATAAGTAATTACAATCACACCTTAAGAGGACATACAACTGGCTGAAAATAGTCAATGAAAAAAGAAAGATTTCCATTTTGCTGTACATTACTCTCAAAAAATCATGATTTCTTGTCATACTTTTATCAACGTGCACTTATATTTACATATTCCTCTAGTGACTTAAAGTGCGTGACTGCTTAACTGTTAGAAGTTACAGTGGCAACTCATTCAAAGATTTACAAGAAACAAATTAAGGTGGTAGCTCCAAGTAGAACAGGTATCAGAGAGGTGTCAGTAAGCGGCCTTACATGCCTGACATTAGGAGAATATAACATTAGCTTTGCTCTTCCCTCCTTTTCAGCTTGGACGCATCATTTATACAATGACGGAGTGAAATAATTTACAAAGTGTTATAAAATGCACACAAAAATAATAAGTAAACATTAAAGCACAAAAAGTATGTACAAAGTAATAAAAATAAGAGCAAGATCACCACCAAAATTGATCTTCTGCATTTTTGCTTGGAGCGTAGAACTCACCAATTCTACTCCGTCCACTTAAGGTAATATCAGAAATGCCCATATATCATATAAACAGTAATTATTAGAATAACTTATAGAGTATTATAAAGAGAACATAAACCACACCTCAAGACTCCAACATAATGTTACATAAAGAATAAAAAATGCAATTAAGATGGCACATAATAAACACACTTAGAACAACATCGAGCCCCAAACATTTTCCATCCGCTATCACGTGGATCGGTATTACGACAACAGTAAATTTATTAACAGTGAGACTCTTCAAGTCAGCTGGGACTCTGGCCAAAATAGAGTGCTTTTGACGGCAAACTACTTACAACGCCGTTTGTCTTCTTCTGGACGACATCCAGCATCTGGTTACCATATTTCATTGTGGAGCTCATAGCACCAAACATGCGATTCACCAGACCTTTAGATGGCGGCTTCTCTATTCGGGAAGACGATTCAGGAACTGTCGAGAGACCGCACACAACAGATAACTTTTTAAATCTGATGAAACCTTTTACGAGTCCAAATAAAAGTTGTAAACGTAACCTATACTTTAAATCAGATATACTTTTCTGCAAAATGAAACATTTTTGAGAAAAATTATACAACTGGGTTAATTAAAATTAAATGTAGGCACTTTGTGAAAACATTGGACTGGAATATAATCAATCACATAGTTAACTGATAAAACAAAACAACAATTCAATGCTCAAATATACTAAATAAGACTGGAAGAGAACCGAGCTCACAAATCAAAATTATTAATTGTTAAATTACCATTATACAAATAATGACGAACTGTAACCTCGTGGCAATATTTTCATCTTTCCCAATTCTCTTGAAACTTCCTTTTGGTGCTTTCTTAACAAAATTAAAAAGTTGTGTGAATAAACAACTGTGAAGTGAAAATTCAATGTACATATATTTACATACGTGAATTTTTCACAATTCATTTAAACAAATTTTCATGACATTACTAGCCATCTAGGAATTACAATTCAGTTACAATGTCATCCATTGCTTCCATCTAACTAAAACTTAGTCTTAAATGAACACTGATTGAATAAACCAATATGTGGTAGGGAATCTTTCTTGAAAAACTGATAGTTACTCATCACTGTATTCATAAAAGCCCACCACTGAACCCTGTCTACATCTCACAACCTGTATTTCTTTAAGATCTACAGGGTGGGTGGGAAGTAAGTACGCATTAAATAATCGCTTATAACCATTTCTCAATGCCTACTTACTTCCCACCCACCCTGTATATTAACATTATGAGTCAGCGTAGCTCAGTCGGTATAGTGACTGGCTACGGACTGGGCGACCAGGGATCGATCCCTGACGGGGGCAGAGGATTTTTCCTCTAGCCTCTGCGTCCAGACCAGCTCTGGGGCCCACCCAGCCTCCTATACAATGGGTAAAGGGGTCCTTTCTCAGGGGTAAAGCACAGCCAGGGTGTGATGCTGACCACTCACCCCCCATCTAGTGCCGAGGTCAAGAACGAGTAGGAGCTATACTTCCACTCCCCCCAAGCACCTGCCTGGCATGTAGTGGGACAGCTTCTTCTTCTACATCAACATTGCCCTCTCATCTATGCCTACGTCTTCACTTCAGGTTTGCTAAACCACGGATGATAATAAGATTTTTTGAAAACATCTCCTACTGGAGCAAAACATAATACTCACTAACTAAGAAAGAGAGCAGCAGCTTGTTCACTGTATCTGGTAACTCCTGATGTGGGAAATGACTTGCACCATCAACAATCTTCAAAGAGAACTTTTGCACATAATCTGTAGACTTCACAACACTCTCCAAGTTAACGAACTGATCCTTGTTTCCCGTTAACAGGAGGCACGGCACATCCACCTGTTCTCTCTCCTCACTCACTCTGCTGAAGGGAAGGTTACGATAGTAGTTGATAGGGCCTGTCCAATCCTCTGCAATATAAAGTTTTATGAACGTGCGCAACGACTTGTAATTTTTAAAATCTTTCTCTGCTTTATCCGTACGTTTATTCATGCCAATGCATAGTGTCACATATAAACCACACTGCACTGTCGGCACTAGATATTAAAATTGTCGTAATGTAACAAAAAATTTTATTCATTACTTCAAAACAGACATTTAAGCAGAAATGGTTGAAATGCAGACGACAGGTAACAAACAGTTTAAACTTTCCTACTTTTCTGGATACTTCCAACGTATCGAGAAATGAACTGTTACCGATCTTCAAACCACAATGGACTAATATGAATAATTATCAAAGGTGATTACTACTGACAAAATAAAATTCAAGTCGACCGATGTCTTCTGGGTGCTACTGTCTTGTCATGCATATTTTTACATCATTTAGCATAACTTTAAAATAAATCTGCAGAACTAGTACATTCATGCTGTAAATAAAATACTACGACGGTCATGCAACTGTTATACTTTGAATTCCACAAATCCAAAACTCTCTTGGGATTTCAAGGATATTTATAAACTGTAACATAATATAATTTAGAACAAATGTTCAAAAAGAAATAATTAACTGTCCTAACAAATGTTAGGACAGACATACAAAGGCCAATAAACCATCTTAGTTTTGTATTTGAACAAAATGTGGATCTACGACATACCTTTTCTAGAAAATGCATATTTGTAAGCTTCAACATATGTTTCTTTACTGTTCAGTTTATGCAGATGGTGGAAACACTGGTTGATAATACTGAGATCCTCTTTCAGAGCATCAATTTCAGGCAAGTATGGAAGTTGGCTAAAATGAACCCATCTGAAAAAGTCAAGATATACAATAGACAACCATCTAACAAGTGTCAAAATTAATAACCATCAAGATTTCATATGATGGGGCCTAAATTGTCTGAGGTTCAGCTAACAGAGTTCCCTGTAAAGCAAGATGGGCAATACGTAAAAGTAACTGACCTCAGAAGAAGAAAAAAAGATAACTAATCAAACCACATATTATTGATATAGTTTATAAAATGTAAATATTGATTTTTTTTATTTCCTGCTTTACTTTATGGGTTATGCCTTTCCTGCTCTTCTTAACCTTTTGTGAATTACCTTTAGGGGCCACTCATTTTTAAATAAAAAATTGGATAAAAGCACAAAGCCTTCAAAAGAATTATTTCCACAACCAAACCACAGCAAACATAAACACAAGAAAATGATTGGCTGGAGCCTGCCGAGTCCACATCGAGTGCTCTGATTGGCCAAAACTGGTGACTGTGACTTCATGAGCAATTCATTATGTGGGAAATATTTGTAATGTAAATCAATCAGGGTGTATGGGAGGAAATTTGTTAAGCAAAACTTTGTTGTTCGATGATTTCATTATGTAGGGGTCCACTGTAATTACAAAATTATTCAATACGTACAAATGATTTCTAAAATTCACATTTTATTGTCTTTACATGTGTGTATCTCAGGGCAGTCCATTTGGAATTTGTGGTGGACAAAATGGTACTGTGATATTGTAACGTATACTTATCTGAATACATAGATTTTACCTTGTCAATCATCATAATCATAACAGGGGCATACAATAGGCATATTTCAGGCCACAGAACTAAGAGGCTCTGACAAAAAGGTGATGTTGTGCCAGGTAGTCTGGTAGAAAGTGACCTATTGTTTTAGAGTGCTTACTGCCTTGATGATGAAGGCAGTAAGCACCTCTGAAACATCAGTTAATTTCTTCTTACCTTGTATTGAAGGCACTGGCTGTAGGAAGTTCATTCCAGTACACATTTGGATGTGGACATGCAATAGTTACAAACTTCTTCACCATGTCAGGATACTGATATATAAGATACCACCCTAACATGGCACCCAAATCGTGGCCAATCACAGTACAACTTGTAACACCCAGTGCAGACACAAATTCCTTCAGCTCTTCCAGTAATGTGTCAACACGGTAACTGCGTCTCCACAATGGTTTGTCTGAATCACCAAAACCTTTCAGATCAAGTGCTACCACTCTGGAAAATGTTTAATTTGTCCATTGACCACACTTCATTTACACTTCTACATTTAATTACATCTAGATATGTACCAACAAATTATATTGCAATAGGCTCTCCTAAGGTACTGCTATTTACTTTATAAGATTAGTAATCCTTGAATGCATAGGCACGCAAACATTTGACATCAGTGCTTGATATATGAGCTCTGAGGTTTTCATAGCAGTAAAAATGTGGATTGTGATCATCTACCCCAAACATACAGTTGATGCAATCCTCTAAATTGTTGGAAATAACCTACAAAATTGCATGGTATCACAACCCACAAGTCACTTAGTAATAATGAAATATGTATTAGCAAACAGATAACATGCATGCATAAGTTGTACTTTCTTATACCAGTACTGACAGTACAACTTAAGTTCATCATTTGACAACACAGACAGAGATTTAGATATGTTACATGGTAAAATTCAGAGCTGAAAGATCAAATGCAAATAAAACCAGTAGCATTGTTACTACTGAATACATTAAAAATGCCAAGTTAAATGATTAAGATAAAGGTCGGTTACTATATGTATTTTATGGTTGCCGAGTATTAGAATTACATCAATGGTTAAAACGCAAGCAAGAACGAAAGGAAGAGTAAATGTATCCAGTAGAATGAAGACTGAATTGTGAAACTAAATAAATTTAATATATTATGTTAGAAATAACTGTCACAGTGAACATGTGCTATTAAAATTAGCAATAAATAATTTTAATTTGGTGTCTACACAGCACAATAAATACATTATGTTGCAAGTGAGCCAACAAGAAAAAATACAATGTCTAGCACATATCTAATCTTAATATCAAAGGAACTTTATAATTTCAGAGTAAGGTAAAGTTATAGTCTAAATATGCAAAGATTAATTAATCTCTACTGGAGTAACAGAGCAATGTCACAATGCTTTGAACTTTGACAACATAAGATAGGACCAAAGAAAACCGAAAGACAATGATACCTTTCCCGTAGAACTCGCTCACATCCAAGCCCTACTCACATGTATCCTTCAAATAAAGGCAGCAGATTTCTCCAAAATATTGGTAACCACCCCAAAGACTACACAGGCTGTCACAACCGAGAAGACCACAATCTACATAAAGTAGAGCTTCTCATCACAAAACATCCAAATTCAGAAAAATCTGTGGTGAAAAATTAGGCCTACTTTGATTTTCTCTCTCAACAAAATAATTCCATTTCACCACACCCATCCACCACCACAAATTCAGAACACAACTGCAATTACTACTACAAAGGCCCATAATTTGGCTTTCACCATCTGCCCCAGCAGCTGTGATGGGCTCAGAGTATTACACTACCATTCTCTGTACCTGTAATGTTGTGCCAACACTGGAATCTGGTACCTCCAACTAAGCCAACAGTCAGGAAATCCATGCAAAAGGAGAAGAAGTGGACTGTCCCTTTCTCCTGATTCCACATAATGCAGCTTAACTCCCTGCATACCAAAAAATAAATAACGACACGTACGTTATTTAATTGCGTAACTGACAATCATAAAACAATCACCACGTGGTCATGTTGCATCAGTCACACATACCACCGTTGTTAGGTTGTATTATGACTTCTCATATTCAGAAACATCCTACAAAAATTCGAATCCCAGAATTTCTGGTGTATTTATACTGTTAAATGTACTGGTTAACAAACTTACCTTTAGCTTCATGTACGAATGCCGCCCTAACTCAGAATCTACTAGGCATGGGGGCGGGGCTTCTCTTCTTTGCAACGAAAAGAATCCTTTTGGATTCCATGCCCACTGTGGCAATCTCTTCAGAATAACCCAAAATCCACAAATGAATGATAAAAAATGTATTTTAAATGAATCCCATGGTGAAATTGACACGATACATTCTTGATCGCAAACTGAGAACATTGTTCCAGGCCACCCGCAATATTGCAAGGTGAAGAACGGGATATTCTTCAAAAGTACAATCGCGAAGAACACTGGACCGATAGAATCAAACGTGATAACAGAGTGACACTGACTGATATACGCATGCAAGACTTCAAGGGCAAAGGTACTTCCGACTCATCATCCCATACTCTTCACTCAATACGTCACGGCGGATGTAGACAACCGTTACATGTAACCATGGGTTATTAATACAGATGCCTAATTTCATTTACTGTCAGCCGTATTTGAGAAATCCTTCCCTGGGGACGTCTTTCGTGCCGACATGTTCAACGTGAACGATGCTATGTATTTTAAACCAATTTTTAATGGAACATAAAATTAGATGAAACTACTATTCGGAAGCAAATAAAAATCATTTCTGCAGGACACATTACTCTTTTGCAAACGCTTGCACATATTTCACGTATTAAACAAACTATTCTTTGCCGTCGTATTGAATGCACATAGGCGCAAAATATCCCCAGAAGGGTTTAGGTGTTTACTTCACCATCTTATACTCAAAGGGACTCATTGGATCAACATACATGACTCTCTGTCCATATATAACATATATCTATACCATTGTATCTTTATTCTGACCAACCAGGGTCTCATCTCTTATTGTTTGTATAAACTGAAAATTTATTGCAGGTTCAAACTTTGAGTGAACATATCAAATATCTGTGAGAAACTCATTACAGTTTGGAATCACCTGATCCTGAACAAGAATTTTTTATAATTTACTTAGGAATATGACCCTCTTAGGATTATCACTCTAATTTATTTTTCATCATGTCCTAGAATTTGGCCAGATTCTGACGTAACACACAGTTGAAGTTACCTAAATATAAGTCCTTTTGTTTCTGTTTTTAGTGAGAAATTCTTTTAACCTTTAATGTACAGGAGTATGGCATTTAAGCCTCTGTACTATGGAGCTCCTGACCACTTAAATCTTTGGTAAACAGCTTAGTATATGCCACCAGTTTCTTCTTCTTGTCCCCACAGAAAGATACTGGCATTTTCATTTCAAACTTTACACTATGCAGGAACAGCAGTCAGACTGATACCACAACACGAGATGTGATGATGAAGGTATATAAAATAATATTTACATATGCAACATCAATATATGATATACTGAAATGGCTATGTTCTGAATAAAATGTAAGAATTATGCCACTGCCAAGTTTAAATGGAATTTTGAAGACAATGAAATATAATGCAGAATGAACCATCCACAGCACGAGTTTAACAAAAGTACAATTTTCGATTGTGGTGTTCTGAGTTATAACGCTAGATTTATGTAGGTGGTTACCAACATTTTAGAAGAACCTGGTGCCTCCATCTTCTATTTTATGATGAAGGCAACAAAGTGTGGGAACCTAGATCATTACCTCAAATCTCATACAAAATCATGAATACTTCTTGAAAATAGTAATTTGTCCATTCATTTCTTTTTCTAAATTTAAAACCTGAGAAATCTTTTATGTAATTTTAGACTGTCATAAATACAGTTTATACACTTTATACATGTCTACCTACAGATATTGAATAATGTTTCAATTTAAAGATGTGTTCCGCTGTTTGTTCCTCGTTATAATCTAGTATAGATAATAGCTCCTCCAATTGGATGCATGGCAGTAAATGGTTTAAAGATCACATTTACACAACTTGAAAGTAAGTTCTATAGAATTACTCAATTAAAATCCAGTAATGTTTCTGCATTAATTAGCAAGTTGACACAAGATTTATATTAATTCATACTTGTTAGTTCAGGTATCTGCTTTTGTCACCTTGATATTCACATCTTCAGAATCAGCTGGGTAACATGAACATGCATTTGGTAAGAGAAGTGAGAAAACTTATGCAACAGTAACCGCGCACACATTTAAATAATCCAATTCACGTCTTCCTCAAGTAGCCAAAACATATCTGAAAATGTAAGAAACTCCACAAAGATTCATCACCACAAAATCCCCATCACTGGTCCCTCTACTGAGAACGTTCAATTTGTTCACACCCCCACAACCAACTTAATTCATTTTATCATCATCTTAATACTATCTTCACCGTAATTTCCAAAACGGTCTCTAACCATGGTATTATAGATGAAATCATGTTCTCAATTCTTACCTACTCCATTTCTTGTCCATCTTAACCTCTCTGGTTCACTCACCCATGCTAAACAAGATACAAGCTGTGGAAGAGTTGAGGTTCTCACAGCGGTGAGTATGAAGATTTCTGTCTTCTGGGTTGTTGCGCTGCGTAGTCTGGTCGATGTTTACCAACGTTTCAGATGCCTCCGTCATCAGGGCGATGAAAAAAAAATATATATATATAGGCAGTATGACCTCTGAAACGTTGATAAACATCGACCAGACTACGCAGGGCAACAACCCAGAAGACAGAAATCTTCAAGATACAAGCTCTTAAAAAAAAAAAAGTTTGTTGATCATCATTCCAGACCTCATCAGCAAATTACAGATATCAGGCAAACAAAAGTCATAACTGCAATGGTAACTGTATTTTCAGTCTCCTCAACAATTAGGGATCAAAAGTGTTCATTTACAGTAACATGTAAAAATTATGCGATATGAAAACATATTGTTACGACTTCATTACGCTAAACAAGCTGCTTACAAATGGGAGACTAATTACACTCAGGTATGTGTAGTACATAGACAGTTTAAAAAGTGCCCAGTGTTCCGACATGACAGTACTCCAGCGTGACAGCCAGGTCTTGCACAGCTTCACACGTTCCCCATAAACACTCTGGATGACACACCGAGACATAACAAAAAATGATGTTTTCCTAAAACAAAGAAGAGTACTGAATGGTTCAAACTATCAGATAATTTAAACCATGTACATGGGAAGAAAGAGATTTAAAGTGGAATAAAAGTAAGTGATAAGAAAGACAGAATTAGGAAATATGAAGTTAACTGAAAAATGAAGTATGTAATAATGAACTTCATAATGTGTACTGATTGCCTAAAATTGTTCGCGTAAATAAATCAAGAAGGATATGACATTTGGGATGCATAACATATATGAGGAAATAAGAAATACATAAAATGTTTTGGTCAGAAAACCAAACAGTAAGAAACCACTTTGGAGACCAAGGTATGCATAACAGAACAATATTAAATGGACCCTAGAGGAACTTGATGTGAGAGTATGGGGACTGGATTGAGATAGCTCAAGAAACATCAAATTTTGGGATTTTGTGATACAGTAACGAATGTTCGGGTTCTGCTTGAAAAGAAGCAGGAAATTTCTTTACCAGTTGAATAACTATCAACAAGTCAAGGTCTTGTACCACTGAGGAGTGAGTTTCATCTAATTCTGTGAAGTTATAGTTCCCTGAGCAGATACAATTATGTGAATAATCTAAAATGTATTTCATTTCTAATAACAAAAACCATGAAGCAAAGTTCATCTTAAGAATCTAACAGTCACTCAGCAGGTCAAGATATTCCATGCCTTTTATAGAACCTGAAGGTTCTTCACTATGTTTACAACAGCTTGCCACAAGTCCCTAACCCGAGCCACAGGAAACCAGTTCACACCATCACATTTTTCTTAAAAATTTATTTTACCTCCCATTTACACCCAGGTCTCCCAAGTGGTCTCACCCCGTCAGGTTTTCTGACAAAAATTCTGAATGCATTTCTCACCTCTCACATGTGCTATGTGCTTCACCCACATCATCCCCCTAGATCTGATTACCCTCATATTTGCCAAAGAATGCAAATTATTAAGATCCTCGTTACGTATAGTCCGCAACTGTAATCTTGAGACTTGTGGGGTGGGGAAGTGTGGTGAAGGAGGAAAGGTAGTGTCTGCCTTTAAGGCTTCAGACTTCCTGCATTCCTTGTAAGTCTCAAGATTACAGTCCTGTACTGTATTTTTCTCCATTCTTCCCTTACTTTCTCTAGCTGATGCCCAAATAATCTCTTTAGCATTCATTTGTAATTCAGAGTCATAATATAGTCCCAGTTGTAGATACACCCAGTTCACTACAAAGCACATTTTTTTCATTAGGGTGTAATGATCAGTCAGTTATAAACCTTTAGATAATCACACCCAGACATCATGCCAGCGTCTAATCTCCATTACACATTCCCTTTCTATATTAACTTGCACTAACAAATCAGTCATTATCATATGAATCTGGTTGGTTCATGGAAAAAAACAGAATGACACGAACTAAAAAAGATTTTAAACAGATAATTCCAATCACAAGTACATGCCAATATACACACCAAGCACTCATTAGCAAAATAAGGTAGTTATCACATCCAAATTTTAATTTACCTGTTTTGGGCTTTAAGTGTAAACTCCACGCCTCGCATTAAATCATTCGTCTTCAGTATGAGAAGCATTTGGCTATTTATGTTTTCTAGGACATCACTGATCTGTGGCAGTAGATTTGGTATTTCTTTATCTCGAACAGCTTTCTGAAATGAAAAACCACTAATCTTCCAATGAATGCTACTGACATGTTGCAAGCTAATATTTTCTACATTCTTCTGTCAAACCTGAAAAGTGTCGGTCAATGATAAAATAGTAGGATTTGAGGTTTTCACGGCAGTAAGTCTGAAGATGGCCGTTTTCTGGGTTGTTACATCACCCTGATGATTGTGGCAGCATGGACCTCTGAAACGTCTGTAAACTTCTACCAGACTACACAGCACAACAACCCAGAAGACAGCCATCTTCCAATGATAAAATAAATCTATAGCCATTTCAGCAATAAATATGAAAGCCAGTTTCTAATAAAACTGCATTATAAAACATGCTTCTGTCTACAATAAACACAAATATTAAATAAGAATATCACTTAAACATAAGTATGAAATGACCAATTTCTTCTTCTTCTTCTTCTTCTTCCAGTTTACCAATGTTTTCTACATTTTCCGGTACCCTTTACGGGTCTCCGTTTTAGTTGGCTTGATTTATGGACATTTTGGTAGGACTCCTTGAACGAGGGATTGGCCCGTCGCAAGGCCTCTACCTATTTACAGGACAGCACAACACAGAAAAACATCCATGGCATGAGTGGGATTTGAACCCACGGTCCCCGCAACCAAGTGGCACGACCCACGCCTCAGACCGCGCGGCCACTGCACACCCCGAAATTACCAATTTGAATACTGTAATATATGTCTCATTTGCCTATCTAAATTAACGTTTTGGTTAATGCCCATATAAGTGCTTACACTTCTGCACAGCTACGTGGGAAACTGCAAAATGTACAAACAAAGCAGAGTGGGGAAAGAAGGGACACATTTGACAGGACTGCTTATGTGAAGACATAAAAGAATGGAAAAGGCCTGGTACAGGATGACCCACCCTGGTAACATTGATTACAATTCGTGACATGAACCATGGCAGACATATTCATTATCCCCCTTTAAAATATAATAGCAAAAGTTAGGCAAGGCCTTACAAAATACTTTACTTTTTTTATTTTCAATATTCAAATTACCTCACTATTAGTCCACTTTGTCTTCTGGATGCCAGACATTATACTATCCCACGTCCGACCCGTGACCATACAGGCTAGCAGGAAGTATAAGTTACCTACACCCAAATTTTGGCTGTGCTGTCGCATGCCTTCCTTGTCTTTATTTAGAATGCTGAACCACAGTTTTGAATATTCCCATCTGAATTCATTACTGAGTTCCTGCAACACAGGGAAATTAGCACTATTAGATCCTACGCTGCCATCAATGACAGGTGGTTATGGTATTGTACTGCTGACTGTGATACTTGTGTTTTATTTAAAATACAACTAGCAAATAAAATGAAAGGATCACATGAACAGAAATGGGAACAGGATACAATTAATTTTAAAAAACATCATTTTCTTGCAAAATACTGCTTCAATATAAAGTAAAGAAATTCCGGGTCCCCAGCAAAGTGTGGTGAAATTTTAATGTATGTAGTTACTCGGAAAATTTTGTCCCACATTTTCTCAGCAAGAAAATACAGAAAACTGCTGAAATTTGGTGTACAGATACTTACGTACCTCATTTACAAATACTATTTTTCTACAAAGTCAAAATCAGTAGACCCCAAATTTCAGCTGTTTCTGTTTTCCGTGTTTTTCTGAGAAACAAAAGTTGGGCTAAACTTTTTGAGCAACTCTCATACTTTCTACTTTTCACTAATAATGTTCCAGTTTATTGTGAAAAACTCACTGCATATAGGCCATGATCAAGAAGTATAATGTCCACTGCTCCTTTTGGTGTCTTCTTGACCAGAATGTTCCCTGGATGGGGGTCACTGTGCACAAAACCATGAATGAAAATCATCTGTGAATACAGCTGACTCAGTTTATCTGCTACTTCATAGGGATCAATGCTGTTGGAACGGATGTAAGCCAGGTCATTGATCTGCCCGCCTTCCACATATTCCATGGTCAACACTCGACTTGTTGATAGATTCCAGTACACTTTCGGTACCTGCGAGAAAAATTTTCTTCACTGACCACACAGCTGCCTGCCCATTTGCTAAATGTGACAAACTTTGAAACCTTTACTCATACATATAACTATATTTCACCAGTTTAAAGGTATGATTTTGAATTATGTTCTCAAAGCAAATACATTAAGATAATTCTGTATTACTAATACACAGAAGTATTTTTTAAATTTCATTACCTATCAAGATCACAGCACAGCTAAAACAAAGCGCTATGTAATGATGGATAGACACGTATCAGATTCAGCACAACAAAGAGAAGATGTGGCCAATTTCATATTCAGATTAGTTTCAGTCCAGGCCAAGAAAACATTCAAACGCAATTTTTTAAAGGCAAAAGTAAAGATGAATCCTATTTCTTTCCCTTCAAAACAGTTCCTTCCAAGTTATACACTGATATCAGCAGTCCTGCCGTTTGTTCAAGCATTTCTGGTATTCTTCTTTCACGAGGGTTTTTAAATTTACATTATGCCTTGTACATAACAAAATTAATATTTTACTTACTGCTCAAGTAATGAGGCAGTGACATGCTTATCAAATCCATTTTCAATGAAGAATAAGAGGAATTCATGTGATTGTACATTCAAAATTCAATTAATTTAATTGGACATATTAAAATATATTCAGTGAAATAATCTTCGGGCATACAGAGTAACACCAAAGCCAAACTAAGTACTCCTTTTGTAAAACTCAAAACATACATGTCTTTCAAGCCTCAATCATACAACTGTATTCTCAGCACACCTAACCACTGGACAAATTTGCAGGTCACATTTAAGGTTGTGATTTGTAACAGCACCATCTATAATGTCCGACTCAATTTACACGCCATACCTTCAACCAAGGTAAATGGGTGAACATTTTGTCCACTTTCTCTGCATTATGCCCTTCTTGGAGAAAGTCCAACTCAATAGGGATGTTCCGTTTTGTCTCCTTCACCAGCCACGAAAATTTGAAGTCTGGAAATGCCCAGGAGACCAACTTAACAAGAGCCTGAAATAATATTCCATAAAACTTCTATTAAGTATTAATGAATAAACAAGAAAGACTAATAAAGGACCTGAAAGCTTCATAAGCTATTACCTTAGAACCACTTCAACATGATCACATATGTCTAGGTAACTGAAGTGGCTCTTTCCCAATGATATTTGTTGGCCAAAATTTTGTGTGGGTTTCTTATTTCTTCTATATCTCACCCACCTCAGTTTCATTGATTTAAATGCTGGGATACAGTAGGGCACCGCTTATACGGCGGGGGAGGGGG